TAGCACCAAATAGAAATGTTCCATCTAGAAAGATGCTTTGTGAATGCAGTTACTCTAGCAAGTTTATACTTATGTCCGAACATTTTCCTTCTTCCCTTGCTACCCAGTGATGCTGATGTGGGAGACTGGCCCACCATGCAAGGTGGGGAGGGGGAACGTTGGAGGTGGTGGAGGCATTGTCCCCCACCCCCGCTCCCCACCCCCGTGATTAATAATGGGCCACGCCGGTCCTCCGAGCCGGCCTTGGGTACACAGACGAAACCAGGCATTTGGAGACAAGCCGAAGAGCCTTAGAAGAACCCAGGTGTTGACAAACGCTGAGTTGCATGTGGGAGCGTGGTTCGGAGTGGAGGGCTAGCTCTGCCTGACGGAACCCAGCAAAGAGCCCAGCACGAGGGTTCTGCGAAGGGACGCTGGCTGAAGGGAAGATGGGTAAGCAGAAGAGAGACTCAAGGTAAGACACCAGCAATGGGATGGAAAGGCCTTGAAAAGAAAGTTCATGATAATTCTTGAACTTACAAAATCAGATTGTTAGAGTTACAAGGATGTTAAAGATCCATTTAAGTCACCCTTTTCATCTCTTTCACGTGTGTGGAAAGAGGCGTGAAGGGGTGAAATAGCCTGATTTACCTCACATGGCAAGTGAAGGAAGAAACTGGTTTGAGGAGATCCCAGGAATGCTACCTTCCAGCCTAGGTTTTTGTTTCCCTAAATCAAGTTTCTTCCCTAAAGTCAGTAAGGTTTTTAACCCTGCTTCAAGGTCAGTGCAACTCACAACATTTCAACAAATCATTTCTCACAAGGGAGAGGGGCCCAGGCCTGGACTGGTGCCCTCAGTGGCAGGTGGAAGTGGTCAAGGAGGCTGGCTGTGCAGGGTTTCACTGCAGGCCTGTGCCTGATAACAGGTCTCAACAATTAACCAGTAAAGAACTGGAATTTGGCCGAAACTGGTTTGGCTCAGTGGATAGAGTATCAGCCTGCGGACTGAAAGGTCCCAGGTTTGATTCAGGTCAAGGGTGTGTACCTTGAATTTTCTCTCCCTTCCTCTCTATAAAAAAATCAATAGAATATATTTAAAGAACTGGAATTCAGGTAGGAGTAGCAAAACACAGGCTATCTCTTTCCCTAACTGCCCTGCATGAGAAAAGGAGGCTCCTGTCTTGCTATTCGCATCTCGGCAAAGCTCTCCCTAGATGATCCTCCTCCAGAAAAACTGTTCCTGAGCCATCTTCTCACAAAGCCTTCTGGTTGTTCAGTTACAACAGGTTGCAGCTCATACACAAGTGCCCACAGCGAAGAGGGGGGCAAGAATAAAAATAAATGAAGGCTTGCTTTAAAGTAGCTCAGGAGCGGATAGAGTTTACAAATACAGAAACACATGGGAAGATGTTTGTGTCAAACTCCCACACCAACAGCTTTTTTCTAGTCAAAATGCTTGGGAGCTGAGTGGGTGCAGGGTGGGGAGAAAGGGAGAGACAAATTAAAGGGGGCGATGTTTAAATTGAGAGAGAAAGAGAGAGATTACAGCTCTAATGAAAACTAGTTAAACCATGATGAACTATGTAAAAATATGGGTCAAGGGCTTGAAAGTAATAGACAAACATAAAAATAATTGTGTTGGGCAGGTAGGATTATGGATGATTCCCTCCCAAGCCCTCAACACTATCGCACATTTTCAATGAAACCTTTTAACTTTTCAAATATTTTTCCTGGCTTTAGTTTTACCTGCTGTTATAAAATCACAATTCCCTAAAATTCTTTGTTGTTCATCACAGCAGTTTTTAGAACAGCAAAAACACTGAACACCATCTAAATGTTTTAGAGGACTGATTAAATACAGGGTGTACACAAAAATGTATATACACTTTGAGTAATTATTAATTTCAATGAGTTAAATCTGATGCTTCTTTCATTAGAAGCATCAATTGAACTATCAACTGTTAAGTGAATATACATTTTATTATTTTTTTAAATTGATTTCAGAGAGAAAGGGAGAGGGAAAGATAGAAACATCAATGATGAATGGGAATCATTTATTGGCTAGCTCCTGCACACCCCCTACTGGGGATTGAGCTCGCAACCCAGGCATGTGCCCCTGACCAGAATCAAACCCTGGACTCTTCAGTCTGCAGGCTGATGCTCTATCCACTGAGCCAAATCTGCTAGGGCTGAATATACATTTTGGGGGGACACCTTGTAGACTGTGGTCCAGTCATAACAATGGAACATCACACAGCCATTTGAAAAAGGGGTGAGGGGAAGAAAAACAGGAATCTGAATGTGTGGATATGGAATAGCTGCCAAGAAAGAGTAAGTGAACAAAGGCAGGTGTAGGACAATGAGTCTAGTTTAAATATGTGTACTTGAGGCCCAATGCACAAAATTTGTGCATGGGTGGGGTCCCTCCGCCTAGCCAGTGATTGGTGCTGATCAAGGTCATCTCTCTTAGTCCCGATTGGGCCTATTGGGATTGGTGGCTGGGGAGGGACTGTGGGAGGGCTCCGGGGTGTGTCTGGCCCTGCCTCGCCCAGTCTCAATCAGGCAGACCCCAGCAGCAAGCTAATCTACCAGTTGGAGCATCTGCCCCCCCGGTGGTCAATGCACATCATAGCGACCGGTTGGTTGACTGCTAAGTTGGACACTTAGCATATTAGGCTTTTATATATATAGATCTCTCTCTCTCTCTCTCTCTCTCTCTCTCTCTCTCTCTCACACACACACACACACACACACACACTTGTGCCTATGCATGGAAATTTTCTGGAAGACCATCAGAAACGCTGGTAATGGCTACCTCCATCTGGAGTAGGGAACTGAGCACTGAGGTGGAGATTCACTTTTCATGATGAAAATTCCCATACTGTTTAAAAAATGTGTGAGTGTGTGAGTGTGTGTGTGTGTGTGTGTGTGTGTAATATATTAATAATATACTGGCATCACTTTTATAAGTTCTACTAACTTTCTAGGCAATGTTCTAAGGGTATTTTTCCTAAGTGGTTTGAAGATAGAGAAACCAAAAGTCCTATTCTTGTCCCTATACTTAGAAAACAGACGATCTGATTATGCCTCGAGTTGTCAAAATGTGGAGGCAGTGTGTGAAGAAACTAAATATGCTCATCTTTCAGAGGGAGATCTGCTGAGAAGAACATACAGAAGCACAGCCAAAAAACTGGGTCAGCCTCCCACCAGGCCGGCCCAAATAAAGCAGCGAGAAACAAGCTGTTCAGTCTCCTCTGCTGGAGGCGCAGGGGGCTCTGCACTTGAAAAGATCCACAGAACCACCCCGAAGCCCTAAGCACCACACCATCCCACAAGTTCCCGGCCCCGGGCTGGGCCCAAAGCATCCCCAGGTCTCTCGGGGCCCAGGCCAGTACCCCAGAGCTTCAAGGAATCAAAGCGGGTACTCCTGGATGCAGAGGCCTGCCTTGAACAGGGAGGTCATGCCAACATCTCCTGGCCTCCTGTGCCTGTGTCCCCCTGCCCGAGGATGCTATGTGTATGGCTTTAATATTTGTACCACTTTCTACAGACAACATGAGCTTCACTCTCCAAACGCCCATTTGCTTTCCCATATTCCAGGCTCTCGTGAAAGGATGCTTCCTTCTAAATTCATGAGAAGGGAAGGCAAAACCTTTTGGGCATTCTGACCTAGGCACCTCAGCCTGAAAGATGTTCAGAGGTATCCTCAGACCAAGGCAAAGACCTACATGGGCAAGGCAAGGCTCTCATATGTGACTTGGCGCCCAGGGTAGGGAGGCCTTACGGTCAGTCTAGGCCCCCTGAGAGCGAGAATCACTGGCTCTGAGATCCTCCGGAGCCACATAGACCGACAGAGGACTAGGAGATGGGCATGGGGCTCGATGGGAAGATGACAGGAAAGGCTATGGGGCTGGGCATCAGTGAAAATGGCAGACAACCTGAGGACGGCCTGGCTTAGGGAGCCCGTTACTTCCCCTCCAAACACGCTGCCCCAAAGAGCTTAAAAGAGAAGCATGTTCTGGGTTAAGTTCAAAATCACTGTTCAACACACTTCCTTATAATTTCTGATTCCGATGAAGAATGTGTGTTCATGAGGTCTCCTATCACTGCCATACATACAAAGCAGGCCAGCTGTGGTCCATGCAGTTTCATTTCATTTCATTAGCAAGAGTGTGTGTGTGTGTGTGTGTGTGTGTGTGTGTGTCTTCCCCTCACTCTTTCTGAACTTTGCCCCATTTTGTAGATTACCGAACCTCTACCAGTGACAGGGCAAGAAGGAGAGCCCGTTTATAAGCCATTCTGGTGGATGCTGCTCTTCTTTTTAAAACCGGGAGCTAAAACTATTATCTGCGGATTGGATTACGTCTGCTTTGCCTTGTGACCACATGCAAACCCACACTGGCTGCGTTTCTGGGAAGTAGAATCTATTCTCTGCCTTCTCTCGAAGGCACCTCCATCCTTTGTAACCAGCAGGCCCCTTGATAACTCGTCAGGAGTGGGGCACGGGCCTGGCTCTTTCAAGTGGGGAGAATCCGCGGTCCCCTGCCCACTGCCTAATTCTGCCTCCCAAACACGGACGCGCTGAGCTTTGCATAGTTCCCCTGTCATCATGACCTTGTAGTGTTTCATGATCTCAACGCCCTTTCTCCAGGTTGTCCTCAATGTTCTTAAATCTGAAACGCCAGGCTGGAATGCAGAGTCCAGTCCAGACTCTTACGTAGCCTGGGGCGGGACCACCTCCCTCCTACTCCCCATGGGGTCTTCCTTCCTCTGGAGATACCGCCGTCCCAGCTGCTGTCCCAGCCGGGCTGACCGCTGACCTCGCAGCCTGCAGCGCCGCTGCTGACTCATGCTTACTCTGGGATCGCCTAGAACCCCGCTCTCCCTGGGCCCTTCAGCCAGGACAGCCACCGCCCGCCACAGAGCACTCTCCCCATCACCTGCAGGGGGCTGGGGTGGGGGGGCTCAGCGCTGATGAGAAGTCTCCCACAGCCCGCACTGTTTCACCGTGCCCGGCCCACCTGGAAGACGTCGTTGGCACACTTCCGGCACAGGTTGTGCTGGCAGGGCAGGATCACCACCGGCTTGGAGAACATCTCCAGGCAGATGGGGCAGATGAGCTGCTTCTCCAGGTTATCCATGCTGTGTGCATCCCCTAGCAGCGGCTTGAAACCCACTGTGAAGTTCATCCCCTCAGTGATGGTGCCGACCTCGGCCTCGGCCCAGACCCGGCCTTTCCTCGCTGCCTCTGGACCCCTCCGCACTCACTTAGTCTGTGGGTTCTTCTGCTCCCTGCGGACACTCCCTCTCAACTAGCTCTGCGCTCTCTCCTGTCTCTCCCTCTATCTGCCGAGTCCTTAGCTGTTTTCAGACACTGTCTCTCTCCTCTCTGCTCCCGCAGCCACGCACAGGGAGCTTTCTCCAGCCCTCACTCCCTGAGCAATTGTCCCTGGAAATTTCTCCTTTTGTTCCTCAAACTGACTCTCCTTCACTCCGCAGGCAGCACTGTCTGTCCCTCACTCCCCAGAGAGCAGATTAACTTGAAGGTGGGGGTGGGGAACAAGGGGCCTCTGTGTGACATTCCAGCTCCCGATTTAGCTCCTGTAAGGCGAGCCACAGCTGTCACCGAGTGAGTGACCCTGACTCACGCAGGAATGGGTGACTCTTGGGCAAGAGCAGGAGTGAGCTTCGCCGCGTTGGTGACAGGTGGGCCGGCAAAGGTACCGAGCGTGAACTTGTTCTCATTCGGAAGCTCCTGGGAGCCCCTGAGCCCGCTCTGGCGTGGGCCCTGCTCGCAGGGCAGTGCCAGGCAGGGCGCAGTCTGCGTTGGCCTGCTGGAGAGGGACCTCGCATGGCTCGGGGAGGGAGGCAGATCTTGGTAGACCTATTGACAGTGAGAATGTGTATCTCCACGGCTTAGCCAGCGACCTGGCCCTCTTCCTCTGAGCCCCACGGTGCAGAACAGCAGCCCCTGAGATGGAGAGGCTCTGGTCCAACACTTCTGGGCCACTTTGTACTGTTTTTTAACCTTTGCCCGAGGATATGTTTTCTCCTGGTGATTTTTAGAGAGAGTAGAAGGGAAGGAGAGAGACAGAGAGAGAGAGAGAGAAACATTGATGTGAGAGAGACCCATTGAGTGGTTGCTTCCAGCACATGCCCTGACAGGGGCCAGGGACCGAGCCTGACCAGAATCGAACCTGGGATCCTTCAGACCATGTGCTGATGCTCTAACCACTGAGCAAGTCGGCCTGGGCTGGTCCACTTTTGTTCTTGCCCAGAACTTCTTTATATCGCCCTAGAAAAGCAGCTCTGGAGGCTAGAGGTGCAGTGAGCTTGTCCCCGAGCAAGTATGGCATTCTGACCCATGAACACATCGCTGGAGCCACTCCAAGGACTTTAGATTTGTTGGGAAATGGAGAGAAGCTGAGCTGGGCAGAAGGGACCCGGGTGCCAGGGACCTATTTTGAGCACCAGGGGACTCGGCCTCCAGGGAAACTTTAGAGCACTGACCAGTCATCATCACACGGCTCCCGGAGGCCTCAGCTGTGGGCGCCCTCGCCCAGCCCCACTGCGTCCTGGGCGCCCCCTCGCCAAGGCGACGGCTCTCCGCCGTGAGCACCGGTCCTTCTCTACCCTACGCACAGCTGGTCCTTTTGGGGCCCCACATACGCACTGGAATCAGACAAAAGCTCTTTTATTTTCTGACATTCTTTAGCCCTTCTCCCAGTCAGGAGAGACAAGTGTGAGGAATCACAAAACTCTGACCCTGGTGGATGGGAAATCAATGGTGGGGAGAGGAGACCCAACAGGTTGTGTGAAGAGGCTCGAGTGGGGAAAAGGGTCTGTAAACGGACCATTGTTTCCCCATCATGGGTTTCGTGCCTGTTTAGAGAACCGCCTGCATCAGATGTGGTGAGAGAACGGAGGAGAAGCCTCAGAGGCACCGTCCTTTTCCCCCGCTGACGCGTGGTGGTGCAGAATAGGCTGGAGGTGCTGAGTGTGTGGACACGGGAAGAAGGTGGGCCAGCCCCGCCCGGAGAGACACACGGGCTGAGGGGTGTGTCTGATGCTAAGAGTGCTTGGTGCAGAGGAGCTACAGCGAAGGAGGGTTCCTGGCACCACAGTTCTGGGCCAGGATCCACGCTGCTCAGCTTCCAGGATCCGGGTGGAGATACCCCAAGTGGCTCAGGGACCCTACCCAGCTGACACTGGCTCCAATCCCAAAAAAGGATGCTTGGGAAAAGTCTGTCACCACCGCCTGAGATGTCTTCAGGGTAGAGATGGGGGGGGGTGGTGCGTGTCTGCTCTCTAACATTGAAATTGGGACCGGAGCTAAAGAACAAGAGTAGCTGGGCGACCCTGCATGGCCAGGGTCAGTGATGCCGTCGGGGACAGAGACTGCATCCTCACTGGGATGGGCGACGTCAGTGCTTCTAGAGTTGGAATTCTTACAAGAGGAGGGGCAAATCAGGGTCAATGTCAGGACAGGGCTACTCGCTCCTCTCTTCAATGTATCCAGTGGACTGGGCACCAGGAGTCTCCTTCACTGGGCCAGCACCTAAGGAGAGAAGTTGAAGTCTTATTAACTAGAAGGAATGAGCACCCAGATTGTAAAGAAAGCCCCCATTGGTAAAGCTATGAACACTTACAGTTCATACTATAGGGCGATAAACTTTCCATTAAAGACTCATCTGGAATTAGTGTGTAGTCTTTTCTTTTTTAAAATTTATTTTTATTGATCTCAGAAAGGAAGAGAGAGGGAGAAAGATATATAGAAACATCAATGATGAGAGAGAATCATTGATTGGCTGCCTCCTGCACACACACACACTACACCCCACCCCACCCCCCACCCCCGGAAATTGAGCCCGCAACCCAGGCATGTGCCTTGACCAGGAATCGAACCGTGACCTCCTGGTTCATAGGTTGACACTCAACCACAGAGCCACACCAGCCAGGCTGTATGTTCTTTTCTTATCCTTTAGTTATTGCTGCATTTCAGTTTTCATACCCCGCTCTTCATCTTTTAATTATCTTCATCATCATCTTCCGATTTTCTAAAATTCGCTTTGTTTCCTAAGATGGAATTTGAAAAACACATATATACTAACAGTAACATTTTGTTTAGTCCAGGGGTAAGAAAACTGTTGCCTTGCAGTTACACATTAGCATCATTAGGTGGCACTAGTGTGGATTCCAGTCACGTCACCCTTGGAAGTTTAGTTGGGGTGAGCATAATCTCAGACACTTCATCTTCCTTTTGAACAAACGACATCCTCTAACTTGTCTTCTAGGCACACTCTCCCACCCATTTCTTAACTCCCACCCATCCCTTAGCTTAACTGTCCGGAGGCCAGCATGACAGTCACACGGTCCGTGTGTAGCATAAACCCTTCCGAAAACAGGTGTCTCCCCTTCTCTCTCTTCACTTTGCCCCAGTACCGACTTGAGACTCTCCTATTTATGGTTCACCGTTTCATCCCAACCACCTTTTCCATTCCCAGTCCAGCTCTTACCCTGGTCCCTGCCGAGGGCTCTCACCTGCTTGCCCAGGCTGAGTCTGGACGTTCTGCTGGTATTTTTTCTTGCCTATCTCCTCGGTAGGGGGCGGCTTGAGTGTGCCACAGCAAAAGCAGCAGCAACAGCAGCAGCAGCAACAGGTGAGCAGAACACACAGGATGACAAGTGTCTGAAAGGTAGGAAAGGATGGCCTCAGTCCACATATCCATTCCAGTTCCCCGCCCACACCCTCCTCGTACCCAGAAAGTGAGACAAAAAGCATCTGTCCTCAGAGAGGAGGGGAAGGTGCCCTTGGTGAGGAGGGCCATCCTTTCCTTCTCATTCTTAAAGGACTAGGAAGACGTGTGTACCTTGAACCAACAACTATTCATCCTAAAATAGTACTTGACGCCGTCTTCACCAAAGTGATCGTATAGATATATTCCCAATGAGCCATGCTGGTCGTAGATTTTCCGCTTCTTATGATCGCTCAGGATCGCGTGCGCTGAGTTGATCTCTTTGAATATTTCTGCTGATTGAGCGTCCCCTGGGTTCTTATCTGGGTGATACTTCAAGGCCAGTCTCCTACCAAGGCAATATCCAAAAGGAGGGAGAGAATAGGGAGTAGCTGGGGAGGGAGGGTTAGGATGAAAGACAGGGAGAGGTCAAAACTGGTTTGGCTCAGTGGATAGAGTGTCGGCTGCGGACTGAAAGGTCCTGGGTTCGATTCCGGTCAAGGAGGGCATGTACCTTGTTTGCGGGCACATCCCCAGTAGGGAGTGTGCAAGAGGCACACATCGAAATCTCTCTCTCATTGATGTTTTTAACTCTCTATCCCCCTCTTCCTCTCTGTAAAAAATCAATAAAATATATATATATATATATATATATATATATATATATATATATATATATATATTTTTTTAAAGAAAGAAAAACAGGGAGAGGTTTCTAGATGGTGATGAAGGAACACCTCAAATTTCCAAAGTTAGATGAGGTACAAAGAATGGAGGCAAGCAGGCCACGTCCAAAGTCCTTCCCACGCCATGCTGAAGAGGATGGTGGCCCCACCCAGCCCCAACGTGGGTTTCTAAACGGGCCAGAGAGCGAAGGAGAAGGTAGCAGGTTGAGGGGGTGGAGGGCTTCCTGAGAGGCAGAGGTCTGAACCTGTAGGCCTTTTTTATTTCGTCGGGGGAGGCGCCCTTCTTGAGCTCCAGCACGGCGTACAGGCTGGTCCCGGTCTTGGACAGGCGGCGGGCTGCCTCTTCCACTTGGGTCATGATCTGGTCAGGTGAGCGCCGCCGCAGGTGAGGCTGCAGAGTCGTGGGCGTCCAGGGATGGGAAGCGCATTGCCTTCAGGGGCTAGGCGGGCAAAGGACCACAGAAGACAACGGTGAGTGGGGTCTGTGACTAGCAGGGGAGTGCTGGTTCCCAGAGAAGACACTCAAATTCAATTTTTATAAAAATATTAATGAGAGCCAGAGGGAGAGATAGATTGAGATGTGTTGTTGCACTTCTTTATGCCTTCATTGATTACTTCTTGCCTGTGCCCTAACTGGGGATTGAACCCACAACCCTGACATATCTGGAGGATGCTCTGACTGACTGAGCGGCCCGGCCAGGGCCAAATTCTTTTAAAAGGAACCATCTCACATTACCCAGGGCCCTTCAACCATGCAGACCTCCAGACACCCCACATCCTAGAGAGCTGTAAACAGGAGGAGGAAACCCAGGGCAGCCTCGGGCCCTGAGCAGAACGGGCCAGGGACCTGGGAGAGCTACAGTGTCTGTGGGGAAAACAATTCAGATCACACCCTGAACACCCAAGAGAGGCCCAGGGTCTAAAGCCCGGCGCAGGGCAGCGCTTACAGCCAGGCCAGAGACTTTATTCCTCCCTCAGCCTCCCCTCCCAACTCACCCCACCCTTGCCCCTCAGACACAGTGCAGTGAAACCACCCGGAGGATAAAGAGGGGGGTGGAAAGGGGGTAGCTGTAGGGCCCCGCCAGCGACCAGCAAGGGGTCAGGGAGTAAGACCCCGCAGATTGGGGAGAGCCTGGGGGGATGTGGTCCCCGGGGCCAGGGCCCCTCTGGTGTGTGGACTCCCCTCCGGACCTGGCCTCGACCTCCCTTCGGCCAGCTGGGCAGGCCTTTCACCCTCCGCCTGGGCGTGAAACTTCACACCGCTGGTCCCCAGTTGCTCACTGCACCTGCGCACTGTGTTAACTCTCGGGGTCGTTTTTTGGCGCCACCGGAAGGTCTCGGAGGCAAGGCTGGGCGAGCCCTGGGACTTATTTCGCTCGCGCGGAAACCTGAGCGTAGGGATATGCCAGGCGCCTGCAGGCCAGGGCAGCGGGGCCTCTTTGGTAGCATCACTTCTCCCCTGGAAGGGAGTCACCCATCTGGTCTCCGTTCTGGTTCGTTGATTCACTTACAGAAAGATAATGGGCTTGCCGTCTGTGTGAGAAGGATGGTTACTGCACGCCTTTCTCAAGACGTGTTTGGCCTTCCCCGTCTTCAAGTTCACCTTCTCTTTCCCTTCCACCTGGAAACTGGTGTAGGTCCTTTAAGACTCACCTCAAATGCCAGTATTCCTGGGACTCCTTCCTTCATTCCCCCAGTCATTCCCACCTTGCCCAGTCAAAGCATGTATCCTATTGTATTGTTGTTATTAGTTCGCACAGTCCTTTTTAAGACAATATCTTGAACATTTCCAGGAGTTACGACTGTTCTTGAAAAGCTTCCCTTAAATACATGAGTATGGTACATGAGTATGTACCATAATGCAAATGTATGATCCAGATTGGATAATGAAGTTGTTTCTAATCATGCGATGGTATAATAACCTTATGATGAAAATTCTTATCTTACTTATCAATCTTTAAGTAAATTTCCCTCTTCCCCCTTGGAGTAGAAAGTGAAATTCTTTGAGGACCTTGACCCGTATTACTAACTCTTTTCCAGGAAGGTACCAAAAGTACCAATTTACATCCCTACTAGAGGACATGAGAGCACCTATCTTTACCTGGCCTTATTTTGGTGATCCCCTACAGGAAGTGGTGTTTGCAGCACTAATAATTTACCACGTCATGATATTGGAGAGGCAAACTCAATGGTTCCTATAACATGTAATTGAAAGAGCTTTATTAATTCAATAATATATCTCTGTTACTCCCCTCTTGTGGTTTTCACCATTCTCTTTTCTTTAATACAGTTATACGTGCACAGCTATCTCCCCTTCTAGGTTTTTAAAAAATTATTATTTTATTGATTTTTTTACAGAGAGGAACGGAGAGGGTCAGAGAGCCAGAAATAACAATGAGGGGGAAACATTGATCAGCTGCCTCCTGCACACCCCTCTCCCCCTCCCAACTGGGGATGTGCCCGCAATCAAGGTATATGCCCTTGACCAGAATCGAACCTAGGACCCTTCAGTCTGCAGGCCGACACTCTATCCACTGAGCCAAACTGGCCAGGGCCCCTTCTAGGTTTTAAGTGATAAATCAATACTCCACCCTAAGAGATATGAGCCATCTGAGCAAAGTAACTAAGGAGTCCATATGTTAAAGGCACAATGACCGCTGAACTAATGAATTTATTTCCGTAGGTTTCTGATCAGGATGGGGGTGAATAGCTGTACGTCTGTAATCAGGGTGCGGATTGAAATATTTGGCATCTCCCACGCAGTTCATAGGTTCTGGGTCAGATGAATTTAGAGGGTAGTGGCCTAGAGGGAAGGAACTAAAGCTGAGAAATGTTTTGGTGGGTGGTACTATGTCATATTTCTCCGACTAACCTCCAACCTTTGATCACCATCACGGGAAGACAGAAATAGCAGGACAACACAATCATTTTCTCACTAGCACTGGGAGGAGGGCAGAAGGCATCAGAAGTGCAGTGCACTCCGCAAGTTCCTCACCTCGGTCTACAGGCCCAAGTTCCTCACCTCGGCCTACCCCTGCCCCTCAGTCCCACACTTTTTCTGTCATTGCTTTGGAGACACCCAGCTCCCTTCCATTTCAAGGGCCATTGGCTATGCTGCTCCCTCTGCCTGGAGGACTCCTCTCCGAACTGTGTGCCATGCCAACTTTTCATCCTTTGTGGATGTCAGCTTTCTGCCTCCTCAGAGAGGCCTTCTAAATGGAATTCCACTCTTCTCTCCCACTTCATAATATCCTCATCATTTGTGCACAGATGTTTATTTACATGATGATGATTTGTTTAACGTCTGTCTTTTCCAGTGTCTATTTGTTCACTTTGTATTCCAATCACCTAGAACCAGGCTTGACTCCCAGTAAGTTAATTCATGATTTGTTGAATGAGCTACAGCAGAGGGAGCCCTCTGCTGGTCCAGTGTAGACTCAGAGGTCAGCCCTTAGCAAGGGGCAAAGAGAAAAGGGCAGTAGGGGAGATAGTAATGGTGATTCTGAGCTTCTTGTTTGTGTTAGTCTTTGTCTAGTTCCTAACACAGTTCCTAGAATGTTGTAGGTGCTCAATAAATGTTGGTTGGTTGAATGAACCCCAAACTTCTGTGTGCCTTTTCAGAGGTACTTTTAGCCAATTACCTCTGATTCTCACAACAACCTTATATGATCACGTCCCTGCTTTATAGAAGAAAACGCCGAGAAAGAGGGCAAATTAGGTGCTGAAAAGAAGTAGTAAATATCTTTCACATCTTGCCAGAGGCTCCAGAAGGTTATTACTTCTTATCATTGCCCTCTGACATTCTAATTAATTCTTTTTTTATATATATATTTTATTGATTTTGTACAGAGAGGAAGGGAGAGAGATAGAGAGTTAGAAACATCGATGAGAGGGAGTCATTGATCAGCTGCCTCTTGCACACCCCCTACTGGGGATATGCCCGCAACTAAGGTACGTGCCCTTGACCAGAATCGAACCCGGGACCCTTCAGTCCCCAAGCCAACGCTCTATCCATTGAGCCAAACCAGTCTCAGCGACATTCTAATTAATTCTAATTAATTCTAATTATAGTTTGTGGCTCTTGAAATAGCCATCATCTTTAAGTTTCTGAGCCTCTGTTCTGACTGAAATGACACTACAGCCAGCAGGCTGCAGAGATAGGGATAGGGATAGAGCAGGCAAGTCATCCTGGCCCTCTTTGGGCACAGGCTCTCCACTTCGCCTTCACCTAGGAACAGATCCCCTTTGGCTCTGTTTCCTGCACATTGTATCTTCTAACACCCAGCACAGAAGGAGGAAGAACACACCAGCCAAGAGACAGAGGCCCTAGTTCTGAGTTCTCACTATCTTTCTAACAAGTCACTTAATCTGAGTCTAATTTTTCTCTTTTATTATTATTATTAGAGGCCCAGTGCACCAATTCATGTACCGGTGGGGTCCATTGGCCTGGCGTGTGGGATGGGGACGAAGCTGGCTCTCTGACATCCCCCAAAGGGTCCCAGATTGCAAGAGGGCACAGGCCAGGCCAAGGGACCCCACCGGTGCATGATTTGGGCCAGGGAGGGACACAGGAGGTTGGCCAGCTGGGGAGAGATGGCAGGAGGGATTCAGGGCATGTCTGGCCCCCTAGCTCAGTTCTGATTGGCCAGACTTCAGCAGCAAGCTAATCTACCTGTTGGAGTATCTGCCCCCTGGTGGCCAGTGCACGTCATAGCGAGCAATTGAGAGGCCTTAGCATATTACGCTTTGATTGGCTGAACAACTGACCAGACAACCGGACACTTAGCATATTAGACTTTTATTATATAGGACTAGAGGCCTGACCCATGAAATTCGTGCATGGGTAGGGTTCCTAGGCCTAGCTGGTGATCAGGGCCAATCTGTGGGGCAATAGGCAGGGCGATCAGTGGGCAATTAGGGGGCCCCTGATGGCACATGCCTTGGCTGGCCTGTGGCCTGTGGGCTGGGGGCAGATCCTGGGTTGAGTGTCTGCCACCTGGTGGTCAGTGGGCATCATAGTGACTGGCTGTTCTGCCGTTTGGCCGATTTGCATCTTAGGTTTTTATTATATTGGGTTATTTTAAAATATATTTTAATTTATTTCAGAGAGGAAGGGAGAGAGAAAGAAAGAGAGAGAGAGAAAGAGAGAGAGAGAGAGAGAGAGAAATATCAATGATGAGAATCATCAATCGGCAGCCTCTGGCATGCCCCCTACTGGGGATCAAGCCCAAAATCCAGGCACATGCCCTTGATGGGAATCAAACCTGGGACCCCTCAGTCTGCAGGTCAACACTCTATCCACTGAGCCAAACCTGCCAGGGCTCATTTTCCTCTTTTATATAATCTGCATCATTTCCA